AGCGAATCTTATGAGCCTTTTCTGCACACGTTCGATCGTCAGAGTCTGTGTTACGTAATACGGCGACCAAACTGGTGCAGCGTACTCCAGGATACTGCGCACCAACGAACAGTAGAGTGTTTTTAGAGCATATACATCGGTGAAGTCAGAAGCGTGTCGACGGATGAATCCTAATACCGAAAAAGCTTGGACTGATATAATCCCTACATGATCGTTAAACCTCAGCTTTGAATCGATGGTGACTCCCAGATCGCAGATCGAATTTATCCGTTCGAGTGTCTCTGCGTCCATACAGTACTGATGGTGAGTTTGACCGATACAGCGAGTGAAAGATATTATCTTGCACTTCTTGCTGTTAACGCGCATGCCGTTGTCACCGCACCAGATAAGCATGAAGTTTATATCCTCCTGCAAAGCGTCACAGTCTAAAGACGAGGCAATGATGCGATACACTTTGAGATCATCGGCAAAGGAAAGTTTGAATGATGAAAGTAGTATGCACAGGTCGTTAATAAAAATGTTGAAGATTAGAGGACCGAGAACGCTACCTTGCGGTACACCAGACATGATGTTGAATGAATGGGATCGTGCAGAGTTAACAACCACATAAGCATTTCGATTCGATAAGTACGACAAAAGCCACTCTGTTATCCAATCGGAGAATCCTATGTGCCTCATTCCATTCGGTACAGTATCGAACGCTTTAGCAAAGTCAATATACACCGCGTCTACTTGCCTTCTTTGTTCAATTTCACGAGACAGTTTGGTGACGTAACACATCAGATTTGTTGTTGTAGACCGATGTTTCATGAACCCGTGCTGGCTCTCGGAGATAATCGAGGAAGAGGCATTATACAAGACCTTGTGGACCAACTTTTCCAAAACCTTGCTTAGGCAGCAAAGTTCAGACACCCCCACGATAATTATCCACACGATTACAGCTGCCAGATTTATGGATTGGTACTATCGATGCCGTTTTCCACGCAGTTGGAAAAGTCCTGTCCTGCAGCGAACGGTTGAACAATCGAGCGATTGGAGATGTTAGTGTGGACGAACATTTTTTCAATAACAGTGGAGGAATGCCGTCTGTCCCAGGTCCTTTGTTCGTTTCTACATCTTCAAGATATTTTTGAATTTTCTCTGAAGAAAACTGGAGAACAGGAAGCGTGATGTTATGTGTAGTAATATGGGCAAAGCTGTCATGTCGAAGTACAGGTGACACATTGGTGAGCACACTCTCGAAGAACGTCGCAAACAGGTCAGCAGCTTCAGCGTTGGTGCAAGCATGAGTTCCGTCGTTATGAACGTTACATGGAATCCGGGTGGAAGATTTCTTTTGCCTAACAAAATCCCAGAAAGATGCAGGGTTTTGTTTCACACAAGATTCAATTCCCGATACATAGTTTCTATATGACGATAAAAGAAGTTCCTTGTACGACGTTTCCACTTCGCGGAGGTTAACTTTGTCGCTATCAGTCCTTGTTAAGAAGAACCGTTTGCGTGATTTCCTGAGATCAGCTCGGTAGTCCACCATGGTTTGCTGAAAACTGAGGTAATGGGTCGCCATTTCCGAGGTACATGCTCGATAAAAACTTCGTACAGCTTTTCATAAAAAAAAAAACTGCAAGTGTTTCGTCCACTGTTCTGTTCTGCAGTAGAAGATCCCAGTCGATACCAGCAAACGCGTTGTTTAGGAGATCGTAGTCGCATTCTTTAAAATCGAAGATGAAACTCTCGTCTTGGTCGTCTATTGCAGCCAGATCGTCGCTGCTCTCGTCGAGTAGTAAAATGAATGGCTCGTGATGATTGTCAACGGATAACAGTGGAGTAGAGGGTGCGATGACGTCTAGATGCTCAGGTAGGCGGACGAACTCGAGATCGAGAAGTCTACCGTTCATGTTGACGAAACTGTATATCTGCTGGAAGCCGTGAACAAACAAATTTTCGATGAAGAATTGTTCGTGTTCCGATGAAACGTTTGAGGGAATGTAACAATTTATATCACCATCCAAATGCCAGCGCAAATTCGACAGGTTAAAGTCACTCAGGGATAGAATAATGTCACCTTCTGAAGAACAGATTGACATATGCTGAACTGCTTTTGCATGAACTGAATATAAGTCGGAGCATGAATTCGGCGGAAGGTAAATGGTGACGATGTAAAGCGAACGATGCCCCAACCTTACGCAAACTGCCACTTGTTCCAGTTGGTCGCAGTTCGGCAAAGTGACAGGTTCACAAACGATGTTGTTTTTGACCGCGACGAGCACTCCTCCTCCACGCGAGTGCTGACTGGTCAATTCACTGCGGTCACATCTGAATAAGGTGTAATCCGAAGAGATTTCAGCGCTGCCGATGTCTTCTCGTAGTCAAGTCTCTGTGAAAACTAGCACGTCATAATCACAGCCAGACAGTAGTAAGCGTAGCTGAACAATTTTGGTCCGTAAGCCTCTGACGTTCTGATAATAAATAAACAGTTCATTTCAGACGGATTTGGTTTTGATTTGATTCCAAGCGATGCAATTTGTTGATCGGGTTAACTCCGAACGCTGGCAATATTGTTTTCCACACGAAAACGTGGTGGTATGAACAACTGGAAGCAATAGACGATTCAGGAAGTGCATAGTTCGTAACGTGAGCATACTTGCCTGTGGTAACTGGGTGGAAGACCCCCTCTCCATACTCATACACAGGACCGGGATGACTGCAGGGCGCTGGCCGGGGGGGCTCGACTGCAATGAGAGGATTAGGGGCATGAGGCTTGCAGGCATGCATCCTAGTGGTCTGATGAATGATGATGCAGGATAATGTGATGAAGGAATTCAGCTGGAAACGTAGCGAGTATCAGGTACATAATGGCAAACAGAGGAAGTGAACTTGCCTGAAGTCATGGCCTGGAAGACCCCGTCTCCGTACCCATACACAGGTCCGGGATGACTGCTGAGCGCTGGCCGGAGAGACACGACTGTGATGGGGGAATAAGGGGCTTCCAAATGGCTTGGGTTGTTGCATCCCGGGATGGAACTGTTTATTTTGAATCCACTATGAGAGGCTGGCTGATTGATGATTGTTTTTTTTTCACAGCAGGTTCGGACGTGATGCATCAGAACCGTTTCTTTGAACATGTTCAAACACACGGACAGTGACTCCTTCTGGCCAGCACCAAGGATCACCCACCACGTTGGATACAGTTTCCCACGAGGAACTAGCTTGACAACTTTCACCGACGAAGAATCAACATTTGCCATATCAAGGATATGCTGTTTTACGTCGTCCTCTTTCTGGTTTGGGGCAAACGGGGTCACATAGAAAGCTACCGTGTCGTCAGACGTCTGGCCTAGTCTTGCTACGCTCAAAGGCCCGGTACTATTCCTGTTACCACCAGGGTGGTTCGTGTTCCCACTATCAGTCAGGGTGGTGGCTTTGCTGATACTACGCTTGCTAGCATTGCCAGTATTCGGCTGGGTGAGAGATTGGGGTTCGCTGTTAGTTGGACCATTCGATTGGGTAGTAGTACTGCTGGATTGCTGACTGGGAATTATCTGGACGCGCCTGTTTCCCACCAGAAGCTTGTCAGGCTGTTAAACTACTGTGCTGTTGATCTCATCCAAGACTTCGAAAAAGGATGTCTCATCGCAGGATCTCGAGCGATTGATGGGATCGATAGTGCACGACGGTAATGTCAGGTTGCGAGGAATGCGGCTAGATTTCTGCAGCGCTTGGATGCACGATTTGTTGAAGGTTCCAACGTTTGCTTGCAGATGGCGCTTCGGGGGAGAGACAGTGAACGGGTGTGAATAAGCAATGACAATATGCTAATCACTGATACACTAGCACAAAACACTGCAGCATAGAAAACAAGCACCAGATTGTGAGAGCGTTGGCTCAAAATTTCACATGAGACCACGTCCGATGATTAACGACACGTAAAAACAATGTCACCTTATAAAACCAACATGACATTATGGCACCAGTACGGAAATAGACATTGCTCATCTCCGGTATTTTCTTAACGAGCTCCACGGTACCGGAAAAGATAAAGATATATACATTATTAGCAATGCTGTGATATTACCACAACAGGATGGCCGTTCAAAATGGTTCAATGGATGTGAAATGAAGGGACTTTTAAATTTAAAACGATTTAAAGTATTTCAATGCAACATTTAATTTGGGCTTGTAGAAATTACATGTTTATAAAAATCTGATATCTTACGAATTAATTTCCGACAATTTCAAAAACAACGAAACGATTCCAAATTCTAGGGTAGCTAATTTGATTTCTTGGGAATCAGCTAAGAAAAGACATGATAGTATATTTTTTTTTAAAGATAGCCCGCACCATTCCTGAGAAAATTATTCTCTGTAGAACTAGAATAAAATTAAATAAATTTCCAGTGGAAAATTTTTGGAGATGCTGTAAATAACTTCCAGAGAAGTCATTAGGCATTAGTCATTATGTTCATTTGAGTTCTGTTATTGGGCCTTTGGCTGTAAATGCTACACATGAGTTCTATTGTATGTCTAAGAGTAGAGAACCTCTCATCCCATCTGCTAAGCCCACTAGAGTACACATTACTAGTACATCTATTTTTAAATCCAACAAGATTATTTTGAAAATTAAATTCGAGCTGATGCTTCAGTTACACCTACTCATATTTTCAATGATAAAATACCTATTCAACATCATAGTTGTAATATCAGCATTTTTCCCAATCTTCGAAATTGGTTTCAAATTTATCAGCTCTATTTGGCTATGATGCATACGACCATTACCGCATTTCCCGATATTCCAAGCAATTCCCTTCAACCAATAGTATTCAAAACTCACGGTAATCAACGCACACCGTCAAAAGCGCAAACTTCCCCCCAATGAATTGAATAAATTTACAATTCCACTAGAAATTTAATTTTCTACACAGCCCGATTGCACTTCTAATCCCTGAGTCAGTATTTTCCATTTAATCCGATACCATGCTTCTTCTTTTCTTATATTCCAGCTATGGCCTGCTGGGAGCATCCGGATGCGGTAAAACCACCCTGCTCTCTTGCATTGTTGGCCGACGGCGGTTGAATTCCGGCGAAATTTGGGTCCTCGGAGGTCGGCCGGGATCGCGTGGCTCCGGAGTACCAGGGCCCCGAATCGGCTACATGCCCCAGGAGCTGGCCCTCTACGGAGAGTTTACCATCCGGGAAACGTTAATCTACTTCGGTTGGATCAACGGGATGACCAACGAACAGGTGGATGAAAAAACCGACTTCCTGCTCAAGCTGCTACAGCTGCCGAACGCTTCCCGGTTCGTAAAGAATCTATCCGGAGGCCAAATGCGGCGAATGAGTCTGGCTGCAGCGTTGCTGCATTCACCGGAGCTGTTGATTCTGGATGAGCCAACCGTTGGAGTGGACCCAGTTCTACGGCAGAGCATATGGGATCACATGGTGGAGATCGTTAAGAACGGTAACACTGCGGTAATCATCACAACGCACTACATCGAAGAAACCCGTCAAGCTCACGTAATCGGGTTGATGCGAGGTGGAAAGTTCCTTGCCGAGGAGTCACCCGCCGAACTGTTGGCTCAGTATCATGCCGAATCGTTGGAGGATGTCTTCCTGAAGCTGTCAGTTATGCAAAACATGGGCAAACGGCGCCGGTCGTCCATTGCCCAGGAGGTCGTGGAAAACATTCGGGTGCCGGCGATATCGAACCCGGCACTGGACTTGTCCCCGGAAGAAGACCACGGCGAAATCTCCGGCGAGTTTGGCGATAACATTTCAATGTCCTCGCGTGGTCCTGATTCGATCACACCGGAAATTCAAGCTCCTCCGCTTCCACCGGAAGAAGAAACCAAAGTTCCCTTTATCGAGTACTTCAAGTTCATCAAACCGATCCACATGCAGGCACTGATTTGGAAGAATTTCTTATGGATGTGGCGAAATGTTGGGTAAGGAGTGGACGGTTTTGTCGGTAGACACAGAATAGCTCAAATTTGCTTACCATTTCAGCGTGATGGCGTTTATCATAGGACTACCGGTGGCACAGATCATCCTCTTTTGTTGGGCTGTTGGACATGACCCTGTAGGTTTGCGAGTGGCAGTTACGAACCATGAACTGCAACAGGCCAACCTTTCGACCGCTGAATGCCCATCGTACCCCGGATGCAACTATACTCTGCTGAGCTGCCGATACTTGGAAAATTTGAGAAACAGGAGTGTTGTTGTGGTAGGTTGGATTTTGTGTTGAGCGCTTGAAGAAATTGAATTTAAACACTCTTATTGTAGCAACTGTTCGATACCGAAGAAGAAACTCTGAATCAGGTCAGTCGAGGAAAGGCGTGGGCATCGATGATATTCTCACACAACTACTCGGAAGCGCTGATTGAACGCTCGGAAAACATTCGCAGCGTCGAGGAGTGGACCCTGGATGCGGCAAGCGTTGTAGTTAGCATGGACATGTCAAGTTAGTTATCCTACCAAGCTGCATAAAAAGAATCATTCAAATTGAGGCTTGTGTAATTCGAACAGATCAACAAATCGGGAACTTATTGTACAGGGATATTCAGTATGCGTACTTCTCCTTCATCGAAAGCATCCTGTCGGATTGTGACGTGAATCCTTCCAACGGGAGGTTACCTATACAGTGGAACATGCCCATCTACGGTGATGTGACGCCCAACTTTACGGATTTCGCTGCACCTGGAGTAATTCTGACGTGGGTTATCATCGATTTGGCGTCACACGGGAGCTCAATATTACAACTTTCGGTTTTATTTTCAGAATCATCTTCTTCCTATCGGTGGCGTTGACCTCCGGAGCGATGTTGATCGAACGGAACGAGGGAATCCTGGAGCGTTGTCTGGTGTCCGGTATCACCGGGGTGGAGATTTTGTTTTCCCACGTTACCACCCAGTTCCTGGTGATGTGCGGTCAAACCGCACTGGTGATCCTGTGCAGTTTCTACGTGTTCGATCTAACCATCCACGGGGAAATCTTCTGGGTCGTCATGCTGACCATAATGACGGGGTTGTGCGGAATGTGCTTCGGTAGGTATTCTGTTAATCTTGGGATTGGGAGAATGGGTAGTATACAGATATGTCTTAGGGGTCTTAGAAAGTCTAGTCAGTATAGGCACGATCTTACGAAGCCGGAGGCGGCGGGTTCGATTCCTAGGCCCGGTGAGGAAATCTTTCGGGTTTGAATTTTTCTCGACTTCTCTGGGAATAGAGTAGAGGGTGTTTGGCCATTTGGCCGAATGGGTCGTTTGGCTGAATGCCGTTTGGCTGAATACTTGAAAAGAAATTTCCAATTGTTGAACACTACTTGAACTTAAATGAGCCCTGTGGACAATTTAAACAGATTTTTTCTTCTTTCAAACATGAGCAGCTCTTTAGAGTTTTGTTTTTCTAGTTAGTTTTTGCACAGTAAGCACAGCTTGTCATAAAATTAAGAAAAATCCGAATTTAATAAAAATAGGAGATTTTTCCTTCATTCATACATGAGCAGTTCTTTGGAGTTTTGTTGTTCGGCATTCGGCCAAACGACCCATTCGGTCAAATGGCATTCGGTCAAATGACATTCGGCATTCAGCCAAATGACCCGGAACCGCGTAGAGTGCTTGCCATTCTACCTTTTTTTTCACTTTTCATCATTTTTTTAATTTAGAATGCTTACGTTAATTTTCAGTTAACCCATTTTTGATACAATAGAAAGTTTAGTGCTATTAATCTCCCAAAAAAAATTTAAAATTTCCGCACTGTTAAGCCACACTCTGTGTTTTCACTGAGGGTACACTTGAGAGTACTCTCGAGTGCACGCACATTCAGTGAAAACAGAAAGTGTGGCTCTACGGTGCAATTTTGCATTTTTAAAGAGAGATTAATAGCATAATTATTTAACGATGGATGAACTGAAAATTCAATTGGATTTTGCGTTAGTTTCTATAATAAAAATTAATGAAAAGCCCCAAATGTGCGATCCATAACTGTCACACAATATACAAATTCACGCATTGATTGGCTTAGAAAGTTCTCAATTAATAACTGTGGAAGTTCATCTAGAATACTAAGTTGAGAGCCGGAAAGACGCTCACTGCAGAAGCCTATAAGAAGAAAAACAGAGATTCCTTGTATGGGACTTGAGTTCCCGGCCGTAAGAAAGGCATTGAATTAGGAAGAGAGCAATGCTTGTAAAATTAAAGGGACTTTGAAAACCACCGAGCTAGGGAAAATATCGAATACAGAATATCGTACATGCACTCCTGTGTAGACACTTCCCAAGTAACAATTTTGGTTTTATGAGGGTTCTGTAGACCATGATTTAGACTTGTAGCATGCATTAAAACCACTATAAAACTTGCAATGTTACTTGGGTTAAAGCGTTTAATCGGTACTACGGAAGATGAAAAAATGTTGCAACGCTCCTAGTGATAAAAATAGTTTGAAATTATTCCACCTGCAAATGAAAAAAGGGCTTGTTTCAATCAAGTATTAATTTTAGGAAAACAGTGGAAACCTTCAAAAAGTTTCAAAAACTTCAACGAAGCCTGAAAAATTCCAGAGAAGCTTTCAGAACTTTAACAGATTTTGGAAACATCGCAGAAGTTCCAGAGAACTTCAGTTCAGAGAACTTCAGGGGTTTAATATCAGTTGCAACGAGTATCTAAAAACTGTGTATTGAGGAACGTGGATTAAAGTTCGCTAAAATATTAACCAATCAGAAGTTAACATTCTGATCGGTACATAATCGATTCTAGTATTTAGATGGATCGTGCATAGAAGGGATGATAGAAAGATAGAGGATGTAAACATAGAGAGTGCCCTAGCGCGAGTGACTTGCTCTAGTCGCTTACACTATGCACTTCTCGAGAACGGAACTGGTTTAGCAGTGTGTTGATAGGACACTGTTTGCATATTCTACAGTTATGGCTTCAAGCTTGAGGTTTATTGCTTTGTATGAATGATTGGAACTGTCCGTGGCTAATATATTGCTACTAAGAAGATGGAAACATGGACTTGATGTTATGGTGGGAAAAGATTGAGTTTAAGGAATGTTTTAGGAAATTTACGATGTGTTTTGAAGGATTGTACTGTGAGAAAGCATGTGAGGGAAAGTTTGCTTGCACAGTTTCAGAGAAGTTTCATCAACAGATAATTGGAAAATTGGGGAAGTTCTGAAATGCTTCAGTAACTTCAGAGAACCCAAGTACAACAAATGCAAATTATGAGCATGAGCATGAGCATGATTAACCGCCCACGGTTGCTACTCTGTTATTGCCAGACCTGCTGTAATTACACAGAGAACCAATAGACGATGCTTGGGACTACCAATCATCCTCAATGTGTAAAAACTGGTGATCTCGAACTAGGCAATACCAGCGCCAGCCGCGCCTGAACGCAGGTCAAGAAAGGAATGGGTAGGAATGTGTTGACGTGACACTCGCTTTGATGGAAGCCGAGGAGTCCTCTGCACTTCCACGAGGAATCACAGGGATGTTGGGTAAGAGGGTTGGGTTAGCAGCAGGGTTCGTTTTGGTAAACGATAAGCTGAATTGATGTCCTAACGATCGTATAACGCGAAGGAGCTTGGGATTGAACCCACGGTCTTCTGCTCAGTAAGCAAAAACGTTTGCCACTAGGCAGACGAGCTCCTTTTTAATCATTGACGAATCTTGAATGTGGAAGGGCTTGAGATTAGACTCATGATGTTCTGCTCAGTAAGCAAAAACGGTTGCTCTAAGGCAACCGAGCCTCACATATCACATTATAGCGTTACTCAAGTTTTTATAACTATTCAAACCCAGCACCGACGACAACGAAAAGTTTTACAAAATACACGATAAACAAGCGATCTTACCATGCATTTTTAATATGAAAGGATCTGGGACCGCGTTTTTCTCCTCAGTAAGCAAGCCACTGCAACCGACGATCTTTGAAATCCTAGAACTAAAAGCTACGAAAGAGTACTTAGGCCTTCATTAAGATCCACTTTCACGCGACGTTCAATGTTTCGATTTTCTCGTTACGCATGGCTCAGACAATCATAGCAAGCTATGACCGACGTGACGATTGTTTAAGACCTGGTTAAACAAGCTATTCAAATGAAATTACGTTCTCGAATTTCACTTGGAATGTAATGAACAACAGAAATACGCGATAATTCATATTTTAAGCGGTTGATGTTTAATTTTAAATATACTAAGGGTACTGCCTACGACTACGACGGCGATTACGACAGCGACTACGACGGTGCCTACGACAACGACAACAGAGAATTTGTAACTTACCATTTGTCTAGGATAAATACCTTTGTCCGGCACCTCCACTGGTTCTTCATGTCCGCCCAAGTACAACAAATGCAAATTATGTTGAATAAAATGCTGTACTACCAGCTAGTCATACAAAGGTCATATAAACTATTGTGGAACATGTGTGTTCCTTAAGAAGTTTCAAAAAATTCAATGTGGTTAACTTCAGAGAAGTTGCAGAAACTGAGATGGAATTTTAGCGAAATCTGGAGAAGTCCAGAGAACTTGGGATAAATTGTAGGAAAATTTAAAAAAAGTTCCTATAGCTTCAGAAAGGCTTAGGGAAGTTTCGAAATCTTATGGAAAGTCCAGGTTTTTGGGGCGGTTCAAGGGCCTGTAAGGGTGAGTTGAGAATTTTAGAAAACTTAAGAAATATATCAGGGCAGGAGCATTGTGAGATCTTCAGGAAAGCGCCAAGAGCATCAGTGAACATAAAAAACCTCAGAGCAGTTTCATTAACGTTTAGTACATTACAAAAACAATAAAGTAACTCCGAGAACCTCAACAAATTTTCGAACAATTCACCAAAGTTCCGAGAGCATTGGGAAATTAGCGGAACATCAAGAGTTTATCAAAAGTTTGGTAAACTTCAGAGCAATTGCATTAGCTTCAGACAACTGCAAAAACATTTAATAAGTTCCAAAACTTGCAGGGATCAGATCAGACAACTCCTGAGAAGTTGAGACATTTTTAGAAATTTTAGTAGAAGTATTAACATAAGAGAAGATTAAAGTGGGGAAGATCAGATAACTTTGAAGCAGTTACAATATTTTCAAGAAATTCCAAGGAACAATTGAAAATCCCGATAATTTCAGAGATGTTTCGAAACCTGGAAAATCACCTAATCTTAATGAAAGTTCCATAAATTCCAGGATGATTCCTGGGACATAAGACAAGTTCCAAAAGCTTCAGCGTGGTTTAGGAAAGTTAAGAGAGAGTAGAAATGTTAGTAGAAGTATTCACATAAGAGATGTTAACAGTGCTTTGGGGGAAGTTCAGAAGTAGTTCCACTAATTTCAAGAAGTTGCAGAAACTTACAAGAAGTTCCACGGAACTATGGAAAATTCCGATAATGTTAGAGATGTTGCGAAAACTACATACGTTTCAGAATGATTGCCGGGACGTTAGGTAAGTTCCAAAAACTTCAGGGCAGTCCAGAGAAGTTCAGGGAAGTTTTGAGATTTTGAAGACAGATGAGAGAAAAGATCAGATCGTTAGAGTAGTTATAATAACTTCAGGGAATCTCCAAATGTTATTGAAAAATTCAATGCTTTCAGGATAGTTTAAAGATCTTGAAGAATTTGTTCCTATAAATTAAGGGCAGTTCCATGAATTTCAATTTCATTTCCCGATAATGCTGATGAGTCCAAAGAACTCCAAAAAAGTTAAGATATCTTCTGAAAAAAGACAACTTCACCAGAGTTCCAAGAATTCCACTAAAATTGCGGAAATTACAGACAATTTCCGACAATTTCAGAACGGGGACGTCAGGTAAGATTCATGAATATTAGGAAAATCGCGGCGACTTAAGAGAAGTTCCGAGAACATCTTGTACATTTTGGAATGTTCAGAAAAATCCAAAGCGATCGGAGACGAGCCAGCCAACGGCTGAAAGTCTCCTTAATAAAGATATATAAAAAAAAAAAAAACCCAAAGAAGTTCAAACAAGTTTGGAGATTTTAAGGGAAATTCCGCAAGCATACTTCAGGGAAGGTCAAACATCTTCAAGAAATTTCCATTAACCTCGGAAAAATTGTGGGAACTTTAAATTGGAAATTGAAAATTGAGGAAATCAGGGAGGTCCAGGGAATTTGTGATAGTCCAGAGAATTTCAGGGAAGTCCAGAGAACTTCAGGGAATTCGGAAGAATTTCAGGGAAATCCAGAGAGAATCGAATAGTCGATAGATAGATAGATAGAGAGATAGAGAGATAGATAGATAGATAGATAGATAGATAGTTGATAGATAGATAGATAAATAGATAGATAGATAGATAGATAGATAGATAGATAGATAGATAGATAGATAGATAGATAGATAGATAGATAGATAGATAGATAGATAGATAGATAGATAGATAGATAGATAGATAGATAGATAGATAGATAGATAGATAGATAGATAGATAGATAGATAGATAGATAGATAGATAGATAGATAGATAGATAGATAGATAGATAGATAGATAGATAGATAGATAGATAGATAGATAGATAGATAGATAGATAGATAGATAGATAGATAGATTTGGGGTGCGTACTCTCCAACAAATCGATGTTCAACGCCATCTTGAAATCCAAAATTTTCTCGGCTACCACTGAATTGATCGCAACAACCGCCTAATGAAAGGTCTCACGTTTCCATAGAGCACTTTTGAATATCTTCGGAATCGGATGATGTGGAAGATGTGGGCGGAACATGACCTGAAAATCAAAAATTTTTGGAAACAAGTTGAGTTTCTCGACGTACACTTATCCGAATTATACGCAACAACCACAGAATGAAAAGTTTAGACCCGATTCTGACAGTACCAATATTGAAGGGTTATTTGACAGTATCTCTTAATTTTTCTATAACCGGAAGCCAGATTTCAACATGCCGTCGGACATCGATTTCGATTCCGAGAATACCCATATTGAAGGGTACTTGACTGTATTTCCCAGATTTCCTACATTCAGAAGCCGACATCTTGGATTTCAAGATAGCGTCGGACATCGATCTCTGGTCACTAGACGGTATCCCAATTCCGAAAATATCCATATGGAACGGTATTTGTCTAAATTTCCATTTTTTCTGACACCGTAAGCCACCATCTTGGATTTCAAGATGCCGTCAGACAGTGATTTCGGCTCTCTTAACGTCACTCCGATCCCAAAAATACCAATATTCAAGGGTATTAGGCAGTGTCCTAGTTTTACTGCAACCTGAAGCCGCCATCTTGGATTTCAAGGTGGTGTCGGACACAGATTTCTGGTCTCTATACGGCTCCCCGATTCCGAAAGTACACCCAACCGGGGGATGTAAGATTCTCTTACAATTATGTGGGATTCATCATCAGAGGATGTTAGTGGAGACCGCATGAACCGAGGGTGCGATATACCTAGCTGCGGTCCAATGCAAGAAAATTGGAGACCGAAAAGTGTAGAGTGTATTAGTGAGTGAAATTAGTTATGTCGAAAAAAAAAGGAAACAGATTGCCGCGACTGGACTCGAACCACGAACGTTGCGAATATCAGACCTGTGCTTTCTCGACTGCTCTCTCCATGCTTCTGAATATGGATAGCCTAATAGCAAACATGAAGCGCTCATTTTCTCGCATACTCGACTTCGTATGCTTTTTCTGCTGGAGAGATTCGAGGCAAGTGTGTGCGTCGTTCTACAATGTTCTACAATGTGCGTCGTTCTACAAGCTTGCTGGTATAGTCGAAAGCGTAGATAGAAAACAAAATAAAAAAGACAAAAAACCATTACATCGCCTGCATGGTCAATTTCTTACATTCGTTGCGATGTTAATGAACAGAGGATGATAGGAAACGGAACTAACATTCATTGTAATAGATTTTTGGTTTGCGTGTACCCATATTTAAAGGTATTTGATAGTACAAATTTCTCAGTATTTCTATATCCTGAAGCCGCCATCTTAAAATTTTAGATGGCGTCAGACAGAGGTTTCCGGTCTCAAGACGTCACCTCAATGCCGAAGATACCCATACAGCCATTCCATAGCAAAACGATGTAGTTGTTCTCAGAATTATCCTTATCGCAAAATATTAGATATTTTTTATTTTGTCATTAGGGTGACCATTTCCATTTTAGGGTGGTCAAAAAAATCGTAGGAGTATTGACTTAAACCCAAAACTATTTCCGGTCTCTATACGGTACCAAGATTTCGAAAATACCCATATCTAAGGGTATTTGATATTATTTCCCAGCTATTCTTTAACCGGAAGCCTCCATCTTGCATTTCAAGATAGCATCGTACATCGATTTTTGCTCTCTAGCACCCCAATTCCGAAAATACCCATATTGAACGGTAAAACTGATGGATAATTTCGCGCGACATGTTTGAAAATGTCACTGAAAGAATTGAGTCTTACATAAACCTTTGTCAAAATGTAATTAATTTTTGGTCGATGACAAAGATTCACCTGATAACAAGAAGTATAATGTTGAGCATCTTATTATCATTATTGATATTCATACAGTTAAGGACGTAGATGCATGTTTACTTTGGTGGATCTATGGAGCATTTGGCTTAACCCATTTAATTTTGAAAGAAATTTCACTGAAAACAAAACTTCACCACTGACAATATTGTCACTAGCAAATGGCATGGTATCCCTTAGAAGATCGGTTACGCTTCGAGATTTTGCAGCATTGATCTGAAGTCTTTAGAAAGCCCTCAAACTTTTACAAAAGACGATTCAGCTATGGTTCTGAACAGCCTTGTAAGCGGTCACGGTAGTTGACAAAATTTCTGTGATAATCGACTACTTTTGCCATTTTCAAAACAAGCTACCATAGTACAGTACCAAACTAAAATGTCATATGACATGCTCTGTCATACGACACTGTCGCCGAAGACAGTCACGAATGTATACATTTTAGTTTTTCTCATAATAAGAGCTGCTGATGTATTCTGAAAATAGCAAGCGATGATGTCCTAGTAATAACATTTCTGATCAAAAATGGTTTATTTTACACAAAATTGAGGAACAAGAACGAAATCACACATGTCATTTGATAGTTATTTGATAATTTTCTTTTTGTTTGAATGTTATTCTACCGTTTGTGTTGTGTGAGAGAGACGATAGTAGAGCATTAGTGTACGAATACAACCAGACTGTCGCGCACGACAACGAAGCGAGTGTAGTAAAAACGTCAACTGTTTCAACCCCTGGTCCGAAATTCTGCTCAATAATAGTTGGAGATGATGAGTTTGGTAAAGTCAAAATTGACCATTGCTCGCTTTCTACTCTCTATATACAATGTTTACACTGCTTTACTCTAACGGAACTATCAACTCTCTACATTAAGCTCCTCATCTATCGTATAAAAATTACCACTTTGCATCTTCAACTATGTAAAATCGATAACTTCATGCAAGAAGTAATAGCACCATGATAAAATAAAGTCTCCAATAAACAAGCTAAACAATCTTATGACTTAAACTACCATTAGGGAATTCAAGGAAATTGTAGATTTTAAGTAATTTTATTTGAAATGTGCTTGGTCAAAGACATTGTAGCGGAGTTAACCATGATCATATAGAGTACAAGATAATTCGCATAAAATAGTGAATTTTCACAATTCGTCAACACAAATGAAAAATCAGTGAATTACCACAGTTTCACAAACCAACCAACCAACCAACTTTACAGCATAAATCAATTTACCCTTATCCATTCCATGACACCATTTCCCAGTATTCTAAATCTCTATTTCCCCCATTTTTTTTCCACCGCAGGCTTCGTCGTCTCATGCTCGGTTGACAATGAACGGTCCGCCACCTACATGGCAATGGGAAGCTTCCTGCCGATCGTGATGCTGTGCGGTATCATCTGGCCCATCGAGGGCATGCATCCTGCGGTGAAGATCTTCTCCGTCTTCCTGCCACTCACCAAGTCCACCGAGTCGCTCCGTTCGATCCTGCAGCGAGGCTGGCTCATCAGCAACCCAAACGTCTGGATCGGATTCGCCTCGACCGGAATTTGGATCGTGATCTTCCTGACCATCAGCATACTGTTGCTCAAATTCAAGAAGGGTTAAGCCCCGCGAGATCTTGCTCACACCTAGGCTCTAGGGTACTACTGTTGAAGGCTTTCTAGGGTAAATTTTATCGGAATACTTTTAGCTAGGAATGAATGACAAGAGAAGGAGACATTTTTAACTAAGTAGTTCCAAACATATTGTACTTCAGTACGGAGCGAACTGACGAGTGGTAGTTGTAACGATTTTATCGTGTACCCATCTAGAATAGGCAATATAGCTGCAGTGTACATAACCCAGACATTTTTTTATTTATAAACACAAACATTACACACTGTTGGACAATTTAGGTCTGATTCCTCTTTCGCAAAAAAAAAATCTTATGTGATGGTCTATTACAGAGTTTCTGTTTTCGTGTTACCAACTATAATGCGTTCAGTGAAGCGCCAGTTAATAAAGTCAATAAATTCTACAAAACCCCTCTACAATAACTCGGGAAAATTTAATTCCACCGGAAGCCATAACACGCGTTGATTAAAGGCGTGATTAATTTTCTCATCTACATCCGATAGGATTCGATTTAATTAGAGCAGCACACTACTGATCCCTTGTGGATTGCCATCAAAGACGCTTGCCTTTGCTGCTGTTGTCCGATCTCGGTCGATGTTTATGCAAATTAATTATCCTAACAGTCGTTTCCCCTGCCCAGCCAAGGTTTAAGATCACGCAATGACGATGCGCAAATTAGCGGTCAAGTGTGGCTCAATTTCCGCTAGATTTAATGTGTAGATACATCTTTCTTCGTCGCCACTATTAATTTACATCTGATTGAGTAATTGATTAATTGCAGCGTGGTAAATAGAGCGAGGCTAATGGCTCCCATCGCAGCAGCATCAGCACCACTAGTGAAAAGCTTGGAGTAGTGAACCAGCCTTGGACCACCGCGCGGAAGCAATCCAGACCGCTGGAAGCGAGAGCTAATCCAATAAATATTTCATAATCAGATACGTTCGAGCCGGGAACATAAATCTCGTTGCAAATGTGCGGAAGCACCGGGTGAAACTTAATTACATGGATGATGGTTTTTGGGGTGAAATTTATGGCGAATTCTTGGAACACATTCGACGCTTACTGGACTAGAACGGAGTGCAGTTTAAATCGCGAAAAAACATGTCATTCATGCAAGACAACTTCTCCCAAGCGTGTTCCATAAAAGAGATTTGCGCTGATTGGAAAAGCTTCATAAAGTGAAGCAAATGAGCCCGCACCGATTGAGACACGGGCATTGGGCGAGGCAACGAACCTCGAATGGCGAAACGTTATCGCACTTTTACAGCTCTAGCTAACTTAGTTTATCAGTGCGAAAACTGGTCTTACGAGGGAAAAGTGCATTAGCGCAGTAGCACACTGAATTTCGTCTCCCGGGGTTGTTCGTTCGTTGTCATCACCCCCGTTCCAGCCGGGAGGTACTGCTCCAGGTACACGTAATCCACTTAATGCTCTCTAAAATAACAATAAAATTGAAATTGATGGTACACAGCTTCGCTCACGATAGACGGTGGCGGTGGAGACTCATTTTCTCCCCCAAAGAACACTAGAAGGTAAGTACGGGATACGGACAGCAGTGGGACAGCAGAGAATCTACTAAGCACGCAAAAGTCTAGCAGCCCCACGTGCAGCTAAAATCAAGAAGGACACTGACTGGAATCCAATGCGATCAAGTGGGGTGCCAGCTTACCACTGGCGTGCTTAGGTACGAGGGGAACGGTCTGAGAGGGAGGAAGTTAAACGAACGTTCATCATTTCTTGAAGAGTCCTCTTTTTAAACGCTTAAGGAGAAATGGCTCTAATGTTGGCCTATGGATCTAAGATTGGGCCTATCGCTAAAAATCTACTATTATTCAATTTTATCTAGATGAACGCGTCATTGGGACGGTACTAATGGTTACTACAGTAACCAACCAGCCTTAATTATTAGCGTTAGCGTTAGCGTTGTTATGATATACTTCGTAGATTGGATACTAGCGACACTCACGTCTCTTCTGAAATTCTCAGCTAGACTACTTTCAGGAATAATGCTGGGGAGTAAACATTGATTCCAATCTAAACAAGAGTAACAGAAGCATGACTGTCGCTATTCCCGGCCACGCCCATCTTTACCATAACTAGGGATAGGGAAGGAAATGTTGATGTAGTACTTACTTAACGAGAGGCCACCGACTTAACGACACCCTCATAAGTGCTACGGAGTTGGAGGGTTGGGTAGGATATTCGGTTAGGATTCACCTCGAGTTGGCGATGCAACCAAAAGTATATATCGTTTATTTGTTGTTCATTTAATCTCTCGATAGCCGACTATCGAAAGAAAATATTCATTTTGTTTAGTGATCATGAATTTTAAGAGTCATGACGGAGAGCTTGGGATTAAGCCCATGATTTTCTGCTCAGTAAACAGAAACGATCCCTCCAGGGTCATCGAGCATCTCAGAACCATAACGCTTCGCGACAATACAGGACTACGTTTTCGCTTGATATGCAAATAGTTTCCGAGGTTAATGATCCATATCAAATATACAAATGATGGTGGCGATTTATTGTGCTGTGGAAGAGCTTGGGGTTAAATCCATGATTTTCTGCTCAGTAAGCAAAATCGATCCCTCCAGGGTCATCCAGCATCTCATAATCCACAGCGCTTCGCGTCAAAGTACGATTAAGTTCTCTTTAGGTATGTAGCGAACGATTAAGATATGCAGAATTCATATGCTTTTTTTTCGACCGGTAATCAATTCAAAATATACAAATAGTACTGCCAACGACGACGACGATTATAGTGAATTTAGAGCTTACCCCTTGTCTGGGATAAAGACACCTTGGCACCTCCACAGGACCCTCATGTGCATCTATCACTGTCTGCAAACATATTAAAAGTTAACGCACATGATATGCTGCAATTAATGTTTTTATCTGACATTCACATAACTTTCATATTATTACATGTGTTCTATGTGATAAATCACACACATTTCACTGGACACATAAATTTCATGTTGTGTTTTGGAGCGATTCCCAATTATAAGACCACATGAAAGTTATGTGAAATTCTAATGGATATTTTCCATCTGAAATGTGATTTTTTTCTTTTCTTTTTCCGTTTCCCCTCCTTCCGCTTCCCCTTTCTTTTTTTCCCCCTTCCCTTATCCCCTTTTTTCCTCCTTTTTTTCCCATTCTTTTTTTTTTTAGTGTATTATTGCCACGCACAACGCACCGCTCCTAACCTTAATCAGTTGTAAATTATTCGGCGCGTGGTGTATACAGAACATTGAAGATATGTTTTCAAAGAAGAATTTCCAGTTAATGTGCCGTCGGATCGGCGAGTTTGAAGTTTGGTTACAACGCATCCCAGGCGACGGAAATTGTCTATTTGGTAGCCTCGTTCACCAAATACTGGGAATTCATCCTGCCGAGTCGGTTTTCCCAAATAAGGTGTCGCAGATGCGAGCATCAATGGTTGAACATCTTCAGCGAAATTTTGCCAGATACTGGGTCTATCTAGTCCCATTTGCCGAAGATGTAATAAAACACGGATTCATCGACGTATACGACTGTGTTTGGAAATATTTAGAGTTGCTTTCTCACGACGGCACTTGGGGGTTGAGGAATGTTTATCCTTTGCGTGTGAACTCTACAACGTCAGTATCACCATCTGGGAAGAACGCACCGGTCGGTTTAGAGAGTATTCCGTAGGGACCGCTACCTCTCAAAAAGTCGCTATTCATCATACTGGCTCTCACTACGACAGCGTTGTCTTTTGTGCTCATATTGACATCCAAGATTCTGCCGGGTCAGTTGATATTCCAACAGCTGGACATGTGCTTAATGTCCTGCCTTTTTGTGATCACCTGGCCGTTTGTCGATCTTTCCTTCATCAGTTGGCAATAACCCCGGGTGAAAAAGAAGTGTCTGCGCTAAACTCGATGATCCTTAAATACACCTACTTTAAATCAAACTCAGATTCAGGTAATCATATCATCTGTAGATTTAGCACCGTTGCTAATAACTTCTGCCTGATTTATTCTAGTCCAAAGTGTAATTAATCGATCCAATTTTGAAGACATGGCGCACAAGATTCTGTCTGCTCTCTCTGAATTGTTTGACAATAATATAACTGTTTATAGCGAAGATACAGATGAGCGGCACCTATTTATCGTCAACTCAGACACTTTATCACGCGTAAGGATTTATCTGGGAACAAGAGACTGCATTTGCATCAGCGGCAGCGTACTGCAAATCACTGACTTGTCACCTCCGGCAAAGAAGATTAGAACTGGAGAGCTTTCGTCGGATCAACGAAGGATGGTAGTCCGACGAAACTGCTTCTGTCAACACCAGCTCCTGACCTCTCTCTCATTCCTACTCCTGGTGTCAATGCATCTGATAATTCCTTATTTATTCAGCCTACATTACCTACTACTGTTTCGGTAGCCCAACCTTTGCCCGTTCAATCATCGTCTGCTAATGAAATCGTAGCCTGTTCTTCTGTGGTGCAATCAGGCTCAGACAATACTGACGATTGCCTTCCAAAAATGGTCTCCTGGAATGTGTCGGGCTGTCAAACACGCGAGAAGCGGAATGGACTTGATTATTGTCTTCATCATGACTGGGTTGGAATTGCTTTCCTTCAGGAGGCTAATATTGACGCAGTAAAATCCGATACTAAGAATTATATTTGGTTAACTGGGAGCACTCGTAAAAACAAAAAACGCAATTTGGCCATTCTGGTTTCCAAGTGGCACAATGTTAATGTAAACGATATTAATTGCATTGGGTCATTTATCTTGACGGCTAACGTATATTATACAGCTGGCCTTACCACTTACCATATGATAGTGGTCAATGTGCATGCTCCAAATAAAACCAATTCGACATATTTGGGGCAGCTTGGTGGATTCTATGAGAGCTGCTCAGACAAGGAACTCGTTATTCTGGTCGGTGATTTTAATAGTCATCTTGCCTACAATGACTCCACTGAGTGAGAGAGAAGCTGTCTTGGGAGAATTACATGTCACGAAAAGAGCAATCAATCTGGAGTACAATTACGTTATTTTTTGGTACGGCACAATATGGTAGTTCGATCCATGCGATCCGACAAGTCACTGTTATGGACATGGACTAACGGTGTAACACGTTCACAGCTAGATCATATAATAATCTAGCTGTATCCAAGCATTACATTCGCGACATTAAAGCAAAAAAACCCGTAGGTGTCAAAACTGACCATAAGATGATAACCTGGTGTATCATGCTAAGCCGGAAAATAGGTGCTAAATCAAACCCTAGATGCAATCAACAATTAAAGCGATTTCAACAACCTCACTTCCTTCCGTTGGATGAGCCTTCAATCCTGCAACACTCTGATGCCCAAAGAGTGTACCACGAAGAGCTCCAGAAGTCACAGTCCGATAAACACTTGTCAGTAA